TTTCAAGGTGTTCTCAACCTTCTTAGTTTGAAATGAGTTTCAAGATACGATTTGCAGTAACTATAGCATGGCTCTAAAACTTGATTGGAAACGAAGTATGACTCATCTCTTGATTGAACCATTTCAACAATATATGATTCCTCTTCTTAGTCATACGATTACACTAAGATGTTCTTCAAGGATGAATTGTGATATAGTTCCACAATCATTAGGATGATCATAAAACATCATACTAACGTATTCTCCTTTCTTCTCATATTAGAGAATCATTTATCTTTCTGCCTAACAGATTCTTGTTATCCGTTCTGCTACTTTCTAATTTTTTTAAAGTATCAGAATTATTCTTAATCTTATAAACACAACCATATTTACTGAAACATCAGTAAATCATGACAAATAGAGTTATCATCCTTTGTGGTGGATCTGAATAGTCCATATCAACATGTACTAGATCCATTAGTCCTTTCACTTGACTCACATAAAAATGTGATCAATGAATTAGTTATAGTTTTCCGATGAACGAGATTCTCATATACTATACAATACGACTTGTACAACACCAGGTATCTGTCCAGTTGGTGATGAGATTTATTTTCACTTGGTCAATTATGACAATACCACAAGCGATACTATAATAATCAAATCCACAATTAATATTGCTTATATTAGAAATGTAACCAACACTTTCATAAATGTCATTGCAAGGAAATATATAAAATAAGGCAACCGGATAAACCAAAATTTCACTTTTATTGAAAATAAACGAAAAATTGGAATTAGTCCTTACAACGCATAAAATGAAAAACTATGTTTCTAAACATCTCCTAAGAATAATAGCAATCTATTATCCCAACTCCTTAGTAGTAGCTCCAAACTCTGATCTTCGAACCATGTGACTAAAGTCCATTTCTTATGATCAGATTTAGCTCACCTTGCTCAAGCTTCCTTCTATCTCTTAGCTCTTTTAATATTATCAAAATGTGATCATCACATCATGTATTAAGAGTCTATGAATAGGAACCTATAAAACAATGGAGTCAGATAATGGATGTACCCGAAGTAGAGTCACGCGACTTGACTTTTCTATATCTAAGATCTTTCATGTATTTTAGGCAGCTTTGTTTCCAATGTCCCTTCGATTGGTAGTAAAACAAATAGACTCTTTGGGGTCAACACATGGAACGATCCTAGAACTAGCCATTTCTCTTTACCATATGATCAAACAGTTTGATCTTGGATGACCCCTTTTCCATTGGGAAGAGAAATCTTTTCTGTACTACCATTGTTACCATTGTCAATGTCCATGGAAACCTTGGAAATAGACCCAATAAGCATTTCTGCTTTAGATGTGCTCTTAAACATTTCTGCTTCAGCAACAATCAATATTTGGGTCAAATCAATTAGGTTCACATCGAGATTCATCATATGAGAGTTTTTAACAAACTAACCATATAACTAAGGAAGCAAGAGGAAAAACAAATTAATGGCTTTCTCCCTTGGGAAAACGACACCCAATCTATCCAACTTGTCAATGTACGATTTCTTTTCAGAACACGTGTACACATAAAGTTTCCATATTGATGTTTATACGCCAATAGGAGGAGGTGGAAGGAAGATGATGTTTAGTTCTATCATTTCTTAAGGAAGGGAAAACAATTTCACCTTGACTTGAAATTGGAAGACCATCTCTAGAAGATTAAGGAAAACTATTTCCTTAAGAATGAGGAAGACCATTTCTATCTTCATAAGATATTTTAAATTCAGGAGAAAAGGAGAATTCAAGTTAGTTGACTTTAATCCTTAATTATTAACCCATAAATTTAAATTAAGGCTAGGATCCATATTTTCTATTCGAACTTTGAAGAGGGATATCGTAATCAAATTCAAATCTATTTTAGGTAGGTACGACTTTTACCAATTCCAATCCTATGGAACTCCTAGATCTTTTGAGATTCATTAATTCTTATCAATGGCATGTTTAATCTCGGATTATGCTCTTACTTTTGTGACTGGGTTGCCGAGGATCACACACGAGATGTGAATAACCATGCAAACCCACTTGACAACCTTGATGTCATTTACCATCTCACATTGATATGTTGGTTGACCACACACGCACCATCAACAATGATAATTTTCAAGATGTCCATCATATCTCTTTATAGTCCCTATTAGTGTGTCGATTAACCACACACACTCCACTGATGACATATAAAGCATGATGTGCGTTTTTCATGGATTAGCATACTTTTCACATTTTTCCTAAAGTAACTAAGAGTGAAATTTTAAAAATGGTTTAGTTACATTATATCATTATACTTATTAATGAGATTATGTCCTATCAAATTCGTTCGGCTATCGACCCTCCATCACACGGAGCGGTGAGTGAGAGTGGACACCCATTCAACGGTCATTTTATAGGTCGCTTTCTTATACCCTCTTTATAGCATGGTTTCGTGAATGAGGCGTACTAGCGATTTGACTTACTTTTCTTATACATATAATATATTAATCTTTTAATTATATATAGTATAAGGTATATTTTAAAACTTTTCTAAAATACTAGGTTTAAATTAAAATTTTCGGAATAAATAAAAAAATAATTTAATTTAAAATTAAACCAATTAATATTTAATCTTTATCTTTTAATTAACAATTAATTAAACTAATTTAAATCTCATAAGGATTAAATAATTATTTACTATTAACTATTAATCAAATAATTTAAATTTAATCTTAATCCAATCCCTACTAAATTTTTGAAAAATAAGCTTATTGGGGTTATCCAATTTTTATTATTCTATTTTAACTAATTAAAACAATAATTATCAAATAAGGAAACCCTAACTTGCCTTCTAAGTAATGAAAAATACGGAGGAGGCTAGGGTTTCTAAAACCCTTGTAAAAGTTGAAATTTTAGGGTGGAAGCTAGGGTTCAAGAACCCTAGCATATTTCAAAAATGCCTCCATTAGGGTTTAGTTTCTTTAAACCCTAATTTTGATCTATTCAACTTTGTGCAAGATCAATGAGAACAATGACTCTGATACCACTGAAAGGTTTTATATGTTACAAAAAAAATCTATTTTTGGCGGAAAAAGCATAAACCCTAAGTTCACATGCACCCTAAAGGATCTATGTTCACACTATGATATGCAAACAACTATTGAATATGAAGAACCCTAGAACTACATTGTTATTTTAGAAAAATACAAAAGGGTTATTAGAAAATACATACCTTGTGTTTATTATAGTAAATAAACATTGATTCCTTCTTGACCTAGCTTTAGAAAGCAAGCACTAGAAGTCTCGTGCCTCTAGTGGCTCACACCCAAACCCTAGCAAGATGGAGGCTAAAAAGGAGAGAGGATGAGAGGAATGATTTTCGTTTCTACCTCTTGTACAAGGGATGAACAAAATTGTGAACCCTTAGGAGGGTTTATATAGGTGATAAGGAGGCTAAAGGTAATGCAGTTTCCTTAGATAAAGTTTATCTCTTTTGTTTTCCCCATAAGGCATCCAAGTTTCCTTAGAGCCCAAAAAAAGCTCTAGAAATCATCTAGAAACCTTATAACCAACTAGAATTTTGTCCCCCCTCCTAGGAAAGTTCTAGAATTGGTCAATGTTCAGCTTTTGAACATTGTCATATTTAGTCCTTCCACTTTTAATTAATTCAATTAATTCAAATTAATTTCTGATTAATTCTTAATTAAACAATATAATTTCTAATTAATATATTATTCTTATAATATATTAATAAATCATTTATTTTGATTTCTAATTAATTTATTAACCATATAATAATTTAATAAATCAGTCTCTCTCTCCAAATAGCAATCCAGTCAATTACTAGGTTTGACGACAACCCAAAAGGACTTTGCTAATAATTCAATATTATACTAATTTAGTTATTAGATTAGACACCTAATCCAACAGGTTTATGGTTGAGGCTTTACTGTTATGCGTGTGAGCCAACAGACCTGGGTATTCCAGTCCGATGACTGATTGGACCCGCTGCATATTAACATTCCAATCCGATAACTGATTGGGCCAAGGCATTCCAGTCTAATGACTGATTGGGTCGGGGGTAATCCCGCCCGATGGTTTTGGACCCAAGGGTACTCCAGTCTGATGACTGATTAGACCCAGTAAACATGACATTATATAACCCAACTTATCTATCTTATCAGCTCATTTAATGAGTAGACGTTCAGGTCAACAATGAAATCGGTAAAAGGTATGTTATAGGGAGAAAATGGTCAAATCATCACTTAATTTTACTTTAGGACTTATTTGTAAAATAGGGTAAAATAATAAGACTTTAATGGAACCAGTTCAACAATGAAACCGGTAAACGGGAAAAAAAATTGTCAAATCGTCATTTTTACCGGTAATTCATGTTTTTTCGTAAACAAATCTTAGTTTGACACTTATTTATAAGTTATGAGGAAATATTGAGACTTTATCTAAAAATTATATATATATATATATATATATATATATATATATATATATATATATATATATATATAAACTTAAGGAGTTATTAATTTCTTTTTCTCTTACATTTATTTGGATTGGTTAATATTTCTTTTTAACATGAACCACATAAGAAATAAACCAAATATCTTATGAAAAAGATTGACATGAGTAAAACAAGAAATGAACTAACAAGACTTGATAATAAATCAAAGATTAAAATTACTTTGATAAAAGTGTTTGAACCCTAATCTTTCGGTGAAGAAAGCTATACCTCAAGTTGGAAAGAGTAAAGACCACTTTGAGCATTCTTTCTGGTTTTGTGGGTGTCATTTAAAAAGAAAAGGTGTAATTGATTAAAATAAATTGACTATTGGTGTGTTAATGGGTTTTAAACCCCACACACCTCTAATGTAATGTAGGCTGGTTCTGCGTGTCAGAGCACGAGCCCAAGGAATCTTGATATGAGAGAGAAAAAGAGTGTATTTATCTGTCAATTCGAGTCATTTAAAAGTAAGACTCAAATTTTTAACACTCACCAACTCTTTCTTGTCTTTGAAGGGTTGCACCAAAAAATCAGAATAAACCAATTGTTTCTTTGTTCTTGTTCTTGTTCTCTTGTTAATAGTATCTAAGTAGCAAAGAGACAAGTGATTAATCTGCATAACAGATAACACATTTGAGGTCATGTTAGCACAGGATACAACCAAACACAGATATTGTTTCTTAAATACCAATGCAAACATGTCTTCTTCTTCCTCTTCTTCTTCTTCTTCTTATTCTAAATCTCCAATCATTTTCTCGTTTGTTTGTATTCTAATCTTGTTTGTCGCTGTTGCTGAATCCGTACCAATAAACGAAACAAGCTTTAGACCAATGGAAACATTGAAGAAACTTAAGAAAGTCAGAGCTCATTTAAAGAAGATTAATAAACCTGCGCTTAAGACCATTAAGGTAAGTTTCCTCTTTGACTTATTGTGTTGACATTATCCTTAGTTTCTTGTAGCTCAAGGTTCGCTTTCGATTTTCACAATTTGGGTTTCTTTTGTAGAGTCCTGATGGAGATTTGATCGACTGTGTTCCTTCTCATCTTCAACCTGCATTTGATCATCCGAAACTCAGAGGACAAAGGCCATTGGTATATATACATTCATTGTCTTTTTGTTCTGTTTTTTGAATCGAAACAACTGAGATTTCTTAAAGTAACTTTTCTTTTTAATCACAGGAACCACCATCTGAGAGGCCGAAGGGGAATGACACCATTGATGAACACTTGGAGACAATTCAACTATGGGCAGAATCTACCGAATTCTGTCCAAAAGGCACTATTCCGATCAGAAGAACCACCGAAAAAGATGTTCTTCGAGCAAGTTCAATAAAAAGATTTGGAAGAAAGATCAAAGGAGGTGTGAGGCACGACACCATGAGCGGTGGCCATGAGGTTTGTTTAACTTTAATCAATCTGCAATTCTGCATGATCAACAAAACTCTGAATGCGAACCAAAAATGAAAAAGAAAAGACAAATTTATCACGAAAGTTGAAGATTTGCTTGCTGAGATACGTTTTCTGAAACTGTAGCATGCAGTCGCTTTCGTTAATGGAGATCAGTACTACGGAGCAAAAGCCAGTATGAATGTATGGACACCTGCTGTTACAGATCCATATGAATTTAGCCTGTCACAATTATGGGTTATATCCGGTTCATTTGGCAATGATCTCAACACCATTGAAGCCGGTTGGCAGGTAGATAACTTATTTGTATTTAATTCCCCGTTATAGCATTGATTAAGACAACTTTTTTTATTGAAACTTAAATGAAATAAATATGCTGTCACTTCAAAAATATTCATGATGTGATTTTTAAATTTTAATTCATAATTCATAATTCTCCAGGTTAGCCCAGAGTTGTATGGAGATGGTTATCCAAGATTTTTTACTTACTGGACGGTGAGCAATATCTCAACTGTTTCTATATATATATATATATATATATATATATATATATATATATATATATATATATAATTGGGCTAATAAATGTTAATATATACAGACTGATGCATACCAAGCAACAGGGTGCTATAACTTGCTATGCTCAGGATTTGTTCAAACAAACAGCAGGATTGCTATAGGTGCAGCGATCTCTCCAAGATCATCTTACAATGGAAAACAATTTGATATTGGTATCATGATATGGAAGGTAATGAGAAAAGCATTTGAATTTATTTAATGATATGCTAATTTGACTAAAACTACAAAAATGGTCAACGTACCATAAGATTAAGTCTAAATCAAATTTGGTTGATTCTATGGTGGTATACTTAATGGTTAAGGATTCGAATTCTAATTTCAATATGGATTGCACTCTTGTGGGTATTGTACATTTTTGTTAGCCATCATGTACCTGATTTATATTTCATAGCTAGTTGTTGAAAAAATAACTTAAAGTAAATAATAAAATAGGATTTTTTTTTTCAGGATAGAGAAAGTTGTGAAGTGGATTGATAAAATAATAAATATTAAGATTCTTTCTCCATTTCGAGGAAGTGTCTCCCATGTGTGGACTTCCCTTTAACTTTTACTTAATTAAGTAATTAAGCTATATAGACTATTACTAAGTTGATATCATCTAGGTTTGGGAACAATTATATATATAAAAGCCTTTATTGTTCTTTTCCTCATGTCCTTGATCCATGATCTTTGTTTGTTTTCTAAACAACTATTTCTATAACTCAACTTTTACAATGCTGTTAAATTGAAGTAATAAATTAACAAAACAGAAGGTTATATAATAATGCAACCATTGACATTGTTGTTATATTTATAGGACCCTAAACATGGACACTGGTGGCTACAATTTGGATCAGGGGTGCTAATAGGATATTGGCCATCTTTTTTATTCAGTCATCTACAAAAAGAAGCAAGTATGATACAATTTGGAGGGGAGATAGTGAACTCAAGATCAGGGGGATATCACACATCAACACAAATGGGAAGTGGTCATTTTGCAAATGAAGGTTTTGGGAAAGCTTCATACTTTAGGAATTTGCAGGTTGTTGATTGGGACAATAGTTTGCTTCCTTTAACAAATCTCCATCTATTAGCTGATCATCCAAATTGTTACGATATAAAAGCAGGAAAAAATAATGTTTGGGGGAATTATATTTATTATGGAGGTCCAGGAAGGAATGGAGGTTGTCAATAGAGAAAATTGCATAGTGGTAACAATATTTTTATTTACATTATTAATTCTTTCCCTCTAGAGGATTTTTGAAAATTTTTGTCTACAAAAAGATCCCTTTTTAAGTTGAATTTGTAGTAGGTTGCCATAATTAAGGCCATGTTAATGAGGGCTCTTGTATATTAGCGTTAGGGGTAGTAACTGAGTTTATAATGTATTATGGTTTGTATTTTGTAATGTGGTGAGTTTGGTTTTTCACTTTTTTGTGTACTTTTTTACATCTGTCATGGGGGCCTTTGGTACTAGTTTGACCATACTTAAGGGTTCAATATCTACTTTTGGGTATTGAAAGGAACTTCCAAAAATGAAAACTACCCTTGATATGGGGAGACACCCTTTATATCATCCCTTATATAATTTTATTCAAATTAAATTTCTAAGCAAATAAGGAGCATATATAAAAAAATGAAGAAACAGGAAAAAAAAATGTGGTTGCGAGTCATAATTATGCTTTGATATGGGAATGGAACTACTAAATATTAATTATTAAGATATATAAAATTAAATATAAGTCATGAGATTTCCATAGGTAGAGCACATGTAGCAGATTTTTAACTAATAAAACATATAGTATATTAATAAAACTTTGAAAACGCAAGTCTGGAAACAAACAATTAATATAATAGACTAATAGAGTATCTCAGTTATCCCATCATATTATTTTGACTCATAGACAGTCAACCCAGACAGCAAATTCTATAAGTACCCCTCTCTTTTCCAATTACACCCCTTGATTTGATTTTTTGTCTTTTGTTGTTTTTTGTTTTGTTTTTTTTCCTATTTTTTTTTTTTTTTTGTTTTTAATTATTATTATTATTATTATTATAAATTTCGAAAAAAAATTTATAATTCGGACGACGTTATAAAATTCGAACGGCTATATAAAATCGGTTTTTAATTATTTTTTATTATATATTACTATTATTATTATTATTATTAATATTATTATTATTATAAAATCCGAACAACATTTTATATATCGGATGACATTATAAATTCGAACGACTATATAAAATCGGTTTTTAATTCTTTTTTAATTTATATTTTATAAATCGGGTTTTAAAATCCGATGACATTATAAATTTAGATGAAATTTTAAAATTCGTACGACATTATAAATTTGGACGACATAATGAAATTCAAACGACAATATAAAATAGAACAAAAACAAAGTTTGTCTTTATTTATAACGGATATATTAATTGGTTCGTTATTACATTTGCGTGGTGCGTTATGCGGATTGGAAACAAACTTTACTTTTGTTCCATTTTATATAGTCGTTGAAATTTTATAATGTCGTCCGAATTTTATAATGTTGTCCGAATTTTATATGGTTATCGAAATTTATAATAATAATAATAATAATAATAATAATACTATTATTATTATTATTATTATTATTATTATTATTATTATTAATAAAAGAAAAAACAACAAAAAAACAAAAAGGAAAAAAAAACAAAAAAAAAAAGAAAAAAAAAATGATGTCAAATCAAATGTAAAAGGTTGATTAGATTGATGTTAGGGGGGGTAAAATGAGTTAAGGGGTAGGTTGATTAGATTGATGTTAGGGGGGTAAAATGAGTAAAGGGGGTACTTATAGCACAACCCTTGAGAGAAAACAAACATGCTAATTATAAGCCATACCAACCCCCTCCATCAAGAACTTGCTCAACAATGGACTTTAGAGATAATTCCAAGAACTAATTTACTGCCAACAAGTACTTATATTATATAATTTTTATTTATTTATAATTTTCTTTTTATGTTCAACAAGTACTTACAGATCAGAAACACATCATAATTAATCACTGTTTCACATTAGCATGTCTTCTGGCATTCAGTGTTATAAGGTGTTTAGACTGATCTGATAATAATGTGAAAACAAGATGTCTGCAATCGCTGAAGTAGACTTACATGGCCCCCTTTTTTTTTATAAACAATCTTATGGAGGCACAAAGATAATATACCATAGTCTGTAACTATAATACTATTTATGCTTTTCCACTTTCTTAGTGCATGCATAATATTTATCCTTTTCCCAAAAAAAAGCCTTTATACTTTTTATCATATTCTACTTTTCATATAACTTTATAATTTTTATCATACAATGCATTGATCTTTACAAAAGCTCAATAGAACAGCATATTTTGTTTAAAAAAAATTATTTGTTAATATTTTACATGAAAAAAGTTTAAATTTTTTTTCCAATTGAACTACATATCCATTAAACAACAACGTGACATCCTACTATCGTTGAGTTTAATGCATTCACATTATAAATGCTCTTAGAGCATCTCTAATGATAGGTTATTTAAAAAGTAAAATACTAAGAATTAACCCCAAAAAATATTTTTTTTACCCTTAAATAAGTTGATTTTTGGATCAATAATATTAACCATTTTTATTCTATTAAATGATGTTTTTTAGTTTCATGTTTTATACAATTAACCCTATTCAATAATGTTTCGTTTTTATTCTTCTTATTATATTTAACTTTTAAAGATTTATTAAATTTTTTACTATTTTTTCGTTTTGATCTCAAATATTAAATATCAATTTGTAACTGTCATATTATGTTTTTATTGTTTTTATTTTTATAATTATATACATAATGTTGTGGACGAAATGAAACGATATAAGAACTCTGAATTTATAGTAGTATTTATTTTAGTTTTGTGTATTATAATATATTTGTTTTATTTAATGGTGTTGTTAAATACTTTTAAAACAATCAATACATCTTAGTTATCACCGTACAACGAATGAGAAGGCAAATGGGCAACAAGATGCGTCGTTAAGCCCTTTCGTTTGATAGTTAATTAGTATTAGCAGTGGTTCCTGAAAGCACAAAACAAGCAACATTCGACCATCGAGTTCTAATCAAAGCACTGCCTAACAGGCCATCCTAACATATCATCTGCAATCCAAACTAGCATGTTGTTCTAGAGGCTCATACAGTAGGCATACAAAGGCATCTCTCCTATCATACAACTATGAGCAGATCATTAGCCCTAATCTAGCATGTTATTCACATACTCACATACTGAAAATAAATAAACATGTATGGTTACTTTGGGAACACATACTTGAGCTATGTCGATTGCATGCATCACATCCCATGTTAAAAATATTTTTAAGAAATCTTTACTTTTCACTTAATTCCTCAGTTTGAGTTCAGACACACCCGAGAGTGTGTCTGAATCCCTCACACCAAGGCTCTGATACCAACTTGTGACATCCTAAAATAATAAGTGAAAATTTTTGTTTAAAACGAACCAAACCATCAATCATATATTTCAAAATCATCAGGTATGTCATAAGAAAAGCAGTTATTAGAGTACAATCCCAAAATCATGAAATGTCAAATACAGGTGGATGTGATGCGATCATGCCAGTCATTTCTCTTTTGAACCGGAAGTGCCTGAAAAACATTTAAACATAAACTGTAAGCACAAAGCTTTGTGAGTTCCCCAAAATACCACAACATACATACACATCATCTCTATATATCATACTAAAACATGCAACGGGTCTATTCACCCATGAGTCCCTTCTGACTGTATGAGTCCCTCCCGAATCGCTGAGTCCCTTCCGAATCGTGAGTGCCCTCCGACTCTCTAAGTCCCTTCCGAATCCTTCGGTATCTTTCAACCGACACGGGTCTATTTCACCACTTATAGCTAAGCATACAATCATACCATCAAGAGTCATAAAGACAATAAACACATACATGAATATCATAAAGTGACATAAAGACCACTACTATGATGAAACATAATCCAGTGGGTTAGCATTGGTGCCCTCCGACTCTCTAAGTCCCTTCTGAATCCTTCGGTGTCTTTCAACCGACACGGGTCTATTTCACCACTTATAGCTAAGCATACAATCATACCATCAAGAGTCATAAAGACAATAAACACATACATGAATATCATAAAGTGACATAAAGACCACTACTATGATGAAACATAATCCAGTGGGTTAGCATTGGTGCCTTCGACCCATAAGTACAGTGAGGAGACTCACATAACATACGATGATCAACTGTTATAGCTCTTACTGCTGCGAATACAAATGTTATAACCCACCTATATAGTCATACAAAGTACACCCTTAACTTCCTTCCAAGACTAGGAGTTTGACCAAAAGTCAACGCGAGTCAAAGTCAAAGTCAAAGTCAACAGTCAAGTTGACTCTCCATGTTGTGGCCACTCTTGGCCACGTGTGGCCCTCAAATGACAAAACATACATATTTTCCCTCATTCGCCACGCTGTGGGCACTGGGTTCAAAGCGTCTTAATGGGTTAAGTCGAGTCCTCCATTTCCAAAGGTTTCAAAGTCCATATTTGATCATTTGTATTGTCTAAATGGATCAGTTTCTAACTTTATCCCTTGAGACTCACCAAAAAGGTCTAGAACTCAAGTCTTAGGTTCATAAGGCACAACCATGGCGAGGGCTTAACCCATAAGCACTTAATCCCTTAAGTCTCAAACCTATCTGCTCCATAAGAGCTCATAACACCAAAACCAACTTAAAGGTTGGTGCTTTTTAGACATGCATGTCCAATGCATGTCTTGGACTCAAATTAGGTCAAAATTGGGTTTATGACCAAAATATTATACATGGATCGATCAACCAACCAAACTTCGGATCCAAACGATGAATTACTCCAAATGATCCATAGATTCATAAAGTTGCAACCTTTATAAACTCTCACCATCCCAGCTAACAAGATTAAGAAGAAAATGGGACAAATTCAAGATCTAGCAACCTATAATAAAAAAGGTGTAGCCTTGAACACTTACAAGGGTCCATAATCGAGCTAGGAAGGGAGATAGGGACTTTCTTGCTGATCCGTGGCTTACTCCACCTTGCTCTTTCCTTCAAAATCTCTCAAAAGCACTCAAGAAAGCTTCAACAATGGAGGAAAAGGAATTAGGGTTTCTTTTGGGTTAAAGAGGGTAGTGGAGGTTGAGGGTGAGCAAACCATAACCTCCACATTCCTTTAAATAGGGTACAAACCCGGAAAACTAGAGTTTAACACGTCAGCAGCGGCTATGACGTGGCCTTGCTTGCCATATCATGGCAAGTCAAAAGCGACCCGCGACCAAAAGATGCCTTGCCACGCCGTGGCGACCAATAATCAAATTTTAAATTAAAAAATAAAATGTACCTCGGAACTGGATGTTACACAGATACCATTAGATTTGAATATGGTTATTTGTTATGTCCCAAAATGTAAATCATAATTTCCATTTTCAAAATATAGTATAAAGTCAAACTTTTGTTTCTAAAAATAATATAAAAACTCATTTGTTCAACATTGTAAAGACGTAGTTTCCAAAACACAGTCATACCGTAAAATTAATGGAAGTGTGTGACAAAATTAGTAGCGATGTGTGTGCGGTACAGCCAATTTGGGCTCTTCCTTCTGACAGCAGAACTACTTGAAAAGCATTCAATCCATAACTAAAAACATAAAGCTTAGTGAGTTTTCCAAAATATCATATATCACATTACACATACAATGCATACATAAAAGGCTCATAGTCAGCACCTCAGTGGGCCTGTAGACATGTAGCCATCATCTTAAAGACCTTTTAGACTTCCAGTCATCATCAACTCATAGTCAACACCTCAATGAGACTTTGTGCATGTGATCATCATCCCAAAGGCATGTTGAACTTCCAACTATCATTAACTTATAACCAACACCTCAGTGGACCTATACACGTAAGGTCGTCATCCCAAAGAATTATTGAACTTCCAGCTATCACTAGCTTATAGTCAACACCTCAGTGTGGTTGTAGGCAATGTCATCACCCCACATGCCTATTTTACTTCTAGTTGCCATCCTAATGGGCCCGAAGGCTTACAACCAATTTCCTATAACATCCAACATATAACAAACAAATAGACTAACCATCCTAAACATAAAGTCATAATCTAATAGTACCCATCCAACCTAGCATATTGGACATACAATGTCACAAACATTATAGTGAGAAAACCCACCTGAGCTAAACAACGGAATCTCAACAACAACTACACACGTACTCGTAAGAATTGACCTTATGAACCTCATAAATAATAATTGGAGGTCAAACCTCAGACTATAACTTAATCCTTCAAAGTTTGACCCAAAGTTAAACCGATCAAAAAGTCAAAGGTCAACGGTTAAAGTCAAAGTCAAAGACCAGCTAGGTGCACCACAACAATATACACATGCGTCATGCCCTAGTCGCAACAAAATAATTTGGAAACACCCTTAAGGGAGCCTCGACTACCCAAACACATGTGTCGCGCCCTTCAGAATACCACCCTTAAATATTAAGCACTTAATCCTTATAACCAAGGCCTAACCCTCTCAAATTTGAATCTCCTAAGGGTTTTAATGGATAAAATTTCCAAATTTATCTAGATCCATGTCTCAATCATCCACAAATTCAAACCCTAACACCATAAGAGACTTTAAGGGCCAAAAATCAATGCATAGACCATAAAGAATGCATGGACTCTCATTTTTCTTCCATAAAATTATCTAGAAAACATCTTAATCCAAACATATTGCTCTGGAGTTTCCAAACTCCAAAAACTCCATAGAAAGGGCCCCAAAGAAACCAAAATCACATGCAAAGTTTAGATCTAAGAAAATGAAACATAAAGATAAGAACTTTATACTCACAAAGGTCCAGAGATGAGATGAAAAGGCTGGATCTACACTTGAATCAAGCTTCCTTGCACCAAGAAGGAATTTCTTCACCTTTAAGCTTCACAAAGAAGATCAAAAACTTCAAGGATACACTAAGGAGGCTAGAGGTTGAGTGAAGGTATGTTCAGGATGGAGGATACGAAATGACGAAACCTTAAGGGTTTGTGCCTTTAAATAGGGCCCAAGGCCTAAAAAATTATGTGTTTTTTTTTGCCAGATGGGAGGTACCGCACCCATACTTAGGCATGTGTCAACTGGAAAGATCTCTAAGTTATAACATAGATCTGATATTTCTGTATAAATCTCATAATACAATAAAAACATATAAAATACTACATAAAACTTATAAAATATATAAACGAAGGAAAAACTTACTGTGTTTGGTAGAATGTTGTCACTGTGCTAATCTCATTAGAGAAAAATTCTCACTATACACAAAATAAAAGTTAAAAAAATAATAATAATAAAGTAAAATTAAAAGAATGTAGTTTAAAAAGAAGACCACGTCTAGCCCATTTCGCAGCCCAAAAAACAAATCGTTCGCCCTCAGCCCGTTAGATGATTTTGTTGATGATATTGCAAAATCACCGGCCTTTTTTTCCTTCAAATTTTTATTATTTTCCTTGAAGATTTTTGTAAAATTGGACGAAGCTATTGCAAACTCATAAAAGGTAGTACAATTACAACCTCCCGGTTTGCCAATTTATGTACTAGCTATCACTCTCACACCCTCGCCCCTGAGCTAAAACAACCGAATTTCAATTCCAGACAAGTTTAGGGTTTAATTAGCACCAATGGCATCTCATTCTAATATCGATGACGTAAGTAGTGAATTCTAGGGTTTGGTTGTGCTAATTTTGATGCACTACTATTTGTATCACATTATTCGTAGATTATTTGTTTTCTAATTAACGGAATCGCAGGATGATGATTTCGGTGGTGATTTTCCAGGAGCCAACCCTACGAGGGTCTCAGGTGTGAATTAATCCGTGAATTTAGAGCAAATAGTGTTTAACTATTTCTGATTTTAGTGTAACTGGTTATGTATGATGTTTCGCTTGTCTAATGTGACTTTAGGCACTAAGAGGGGATTTGGGGATCTTGATGATGATGAAGATGATATTTTTGGCTCCAAAAAGGTTTGTTTTGTTTTAGTTGATTCACGATATCTTTTTCGTATCAATATACGCACCCTCATCTCGACAATCGAAGCCTGCATTGTAAAAGAATCGTTTTAAGAACAGTTCTATCTGTGATATGCATGTCCTAAATAGCGTTCATTCTTAGTGCTTGCTAAATCTAAACCAAGGAGGATTCTTTCCTTGTGTACTCATGTCACTCAGAATGAGTACTTACTTTTTAAGATGAATTATTTGGAACTGAATCAGTATTTGTTTAAGTTCTTTATTTTATAATCACTACTGAGAATCTTGCCATGAAGACATGTTAGAGATCCATTCTGTTTTATTTGGGTTTTATTAGAACAAATACTAGTTATTGTGATAAGGAAGTGTTATAGAGGAACCACCAATAATTCACAGTTCAAGAGAGTTGGAGTAAGTTGGTTTTTGGATTGGAGCAGGCCAGGGTTTATCAAGTCAACAAGACAATTCATGGTTTAGTTCGGATGCACATTGTCAAATTGGCTATTACAACCTGAAGAATTAGAATCATGATGAGATAAATCAGAGAATTAGGGATGGCTGGGTAATTTTACTTTTCTTTTTGTAATTAGTTTCCTTGCTGCAACTGTTTACCTATGCTATGAACTCACTTAATCTAACGAGTAACACACAACAAAAACAACTCAAAATGAAGAGAACAAACTGCAATTCCTTCACTGTTACTCAATTGATTTAAGAACAAAAAGATAGGTTGGCTGATTTGAGATAGCTGCTCTCCCTAAAGGAATAAATTCCAGGTTTCACAAAAGATAGCTACCCTCTCCCTGATTATTCAAAGTAACTTATAGTTATAGGCTAACCCTCTAACAGAAATTGTACCTAAAATGCCCACAACGCCATCCCACTACCAAAGATTCCACTATTTATTAACCTGTCCAACATTGTTCTGCCATAAGTTCACTATAACATCCTCATTTTTCTTTATGAATACATCTTCCTCACGTGTCTTCTTTATCGGCCAACATTTGGATGTGTACAAAATCGCCCTTGTAGAATTTTTCCTTTTGGTTTAAATGGGACCCTCTTGTCATACAAAACTCTTGTGGCCATGCTCCACTATGGTGAGTTGGTGATGTCATCCTCTATCTCCCATTCGTTGTGGATCATAGACCCCAAGTACTTGAAACTCTCCTTCAGAACTTTATCCCAAATACTTTTACAGTTCTACTCCCTTATCATTACGCTCCATTATGAAGTTGCACCAAAGATATAAAGTCTTATCGGTTTTAATCTTTAACCCTTTTATCTTCATATCTTCTTCCTCCAAATGTCCAACATAGCATTGGGATTTGTCCTTGTTCTTACTGAGGTATCAACACAATCTCATCTGTGACCTTTTGAGTTCTTGAGTATAAATAACCAAAGTGTTTAGATATGACAATTGACACAGAACTAACAAGGAATATAAACATTCTCTATTAGAGTGGATTCATTTATGTTTTTTTTTTTTTTTTTTTTTGTTGCTTTAAGCTTTTGGCAACTTTTATTCCGGTTCTGGCCTCTTATCTCTCTAGTTTCTCATTACTTCTTCAAAAACTTAATTCATCATGGGTATAGCTGATTGTCAATGGGATGCTTGTATTCTTCTATATCCCTGGATATTTTATTATAAATGTGATGTTTTCTGTTACTTTGTTTGCATCTCAGGCTAACATAAAAGTAGAAGAAACTGCACCAGGTGTGACAACTGGGATGATTTTATCCCTTCGTGAAAGGTATCATCAAATTTATTTTAATCAAATATAAATTCCCTTTTTAAGGTTTTGTTTTTTCACAACACTTTCATTTGAATCAAAATATAAATCCCCTTTTGCATCTCTTTTTGTGCTTTGTCTTTTGTAGTCTCCAAAGCTGTAACGATAGTCTTGCAACATGCCAAGTACGTAACTGTTTTTTTTTTTTAATAATTCTTTCTTACCTCCGCACCTTCCATTATTATGCAACAAATGATTTTTAATCTAAAATACTATTGTAATGTCTTATAGTCGGAGCTTGAAATTGCAAAGTCAGAAGTTCAGAAGTGGCATTCTGCATTTCAGAAAGAATCCTTCATTCCATCAGGCTCATCTGTTGGTTGGTTTCTTAAACTCTTGTATTTCGTTTAACACCTTACAAGAAAATATGTTATGTAAATATATAAAATTTCTTTATGAGAAGCTTGTGTCATGGAATAATGGGTACTGATGATTTGCTGTCAATGCAGAACCTAGAATTGTCATCAATTATCTCCAGAACTTAAAATCTTCCGAGGAATCAGTGCGAGAACAGGTTTGGTTTCAAAAACTTAAAATGCTTTTGTGTTGTGGTGGCAAATTAATGCCAATCTATATTGTTGATTGTATATTTATATTCAGCTAGAAAAAGCAAAGAAAAAGGAAGCTGCATTTATAGTGACTATTGCAAAACGAGAGCAGGAAATAGCAGATTTGAAGGTGCTTGTTTCTTTTTTCATTACACAGATGTAAATTGTAAATTTGTAATGCCTTTATATGTCAACTGATGAAATTGGTTTTTGAAATGCTTCAGTCTGCAGTTCGGGATTTAAGATCACAACTCAAGCCTCTAGCAATGCAGGTAACTTAATGTAGTTATCTAAATCAAAATTGTCTCTCTTTAATGTATTTGGCATACTTCAAATTTCCTCTTTTTGTGTAAAAATTTACAGGCAAGAAGACTGTTACTTGATCCTGCAATTCATGAGGAGTTTATGCGTTTGAAGGTTCTTCTTCTTCTTCTTAATAGCAACATACTTATATTTCTTAACCGATAACAACAATATTTAACAAATAAAGTAGAATGCCCAAATTCGTAGAAAAATTAAGTATGTTGCTATTATAGATAATAGCAATATGTAAACTAGGTTGCTATTAAATTATCTGGAATTTTGGTTTATTATATTTTTTTATTAAGGAGTGACTGCAATTGGCATTTCAGAATTTGGTAGAGGAGAAGGATAAAAAAGTGAAGGAGTTGCAGGATAATGTTGCTGCAGTCAACTTCACTCCACAAAGCAAAATGGGGAAGATGTTAATGGCCAAGTGCAGGACCCTGCAGGAAGAGAATGAGGAGATTGGAAATCAAGCCAAAGAAGGAAAGGTTAGATAATGATAAATCATATCTAAAAGTTATCTGAGGAACAGAATAAATTATATTTAGGACTTAATGGGAAAAAGTGTCATTTCTGGTTTTGCAGATACATGAGTTGTCGACAAAACTTGCTATGCAGAAATCTCAAAATATTGAACTCAGAAGCCAGTTTGAAGGTTGGTTATGTTTATTATACTTTAATTCTGTAAATTAAGACCATATCATTTATGAAAATGTCTTTACGACTTGATGCAGGATTATGCAAGCACTTGGAGGGACTTACAGACGACGTTGAAAAATCAAATGAAATGGTCAGCTTCATTGTCATTTAATTAGCTTCCTCATGTTGGGTTGGGTGGCATTTTTACCCATTTACCTTTTTATTTTTAGTGACAAATTAAGGGTTTGTTTGGGGTGTTTTAGGTGCTAATATTGGAAGAGAAGCTTGAAGATAAAGATGCTGAGATCCAAAGACTAAGGCAGAAACTGCAGCAGCAAAAGGGCATGGACATGGTAGAGGAAAAAACTGTGGCTGATAGTAAAGATGTTGATGAGAATGACAAGGTCACAATGTCAGTGGAAGCTTAAAAGTGTTTTTGGCATATTGAACGTGAAAATATTCATATGTGGTTTTGAGCTACTGAGCTGTACTAGTTTTGTATTTGTGGTTTCATTTAATTAGAATTTGCTTCTTCACAAGTGACATGGATGGTGCATATAGTTTCAGAATTTGCAGTGATCTTGATGAATTTAGAAATCATATGATCATTATAACTTTAGAAATCATCTCATTTATAATTTTAGAAATAATTACTTGACTGTCATTATCATACAATCACTTGAGAATGCACATCCTACATGCAATTATGTGAGTGCATCCTCGATGCAACTATTATCTCATGTAACAAAAGCAATCTAAATGAGCATACTTGGTAATAAGCAATATTCTTGACCCATATAACAAGTGTATATATTATATATACATGTACATCGAAAAAAGCCCTACTAAAAAATCAGATTAAAATGAGGCGTTCTTCCAACTAGTGTTGTGATTCCATCCTAAACCTGAGCTTCCTTTGTTTCCAACTGCTTGTAATGGTTCCCTTAAACCACCCTTCATGCTGCTCCCAAGTGCCTCTCCCTGCAACATGTAAAAGAGGGTCACCTTACCTGGACTAAAAAAAAAAAAAAAAAAGATAATATAAACAAGTGTAAAGTGTTTATGTTTACCTCCTTCCAGCCCATATTTTCTAGCATCCTTCTAGCATAACTACCAACTCCAAATGACATATTCAAAGCTTCAGCTGCTGCATCTTCTGGAGTTTCAAAAACAGGAGATAATGCTGAACAAGAATCAATATCATCTGCTGATTTTTTTTGTCCGGGACCCACACCAAACCCACCATGAAGACTTCTTCTCTCTGCAGCTCTATCTCTATACACCCCTCCCTTATGCTGACATAAAATTTAACAGAAAATGATATACCAAAAATAAATATGATAGTCATAGCTTTCAAAATCAAAATAATCACCTTTTCACTTGAAGACAGTTCCTTTGCTGATCCAAAATGAGGTCCCACATTCTTGGATTCAACATGTCGACTAGATTTGGTTTGCGCTTCCTTGTTTGTTGTAAGCTTCGGGAAGCCCCAATCTTTGGTTGGGTTTGAGGAATCATAAGATGACAAAGTAGCTAAATATGCAACTTTTGGACTCCTCAACTTGTACACACGACCTGCACCAAAGTGAAAAAGACGTGAATGGCCTCATCAATTTGTACTGCATTGGACTAATATCAATGGGAAATACAATTTACTTTTTTGTCCCATCCAAAAGACCCGTTCTAAGTCTCTTGCCTGTGCAATGACATAAATGCCCTCCTGATACTCATATTAAAGAAAAAAAAAAACCCAAAGAAAACTTTGAGTAGACAGACAAACCTGATCTAACTCTTACTAGATCAAGATGGGCTTCACATATTGGAGCGGTTTTCAGAAGGGGGCGACTTGAAGGCATTGAGGGGTGGAGTTTAGTAGACTTTTTGATTAATCTGCCTACTAATCTGCATACGCGACCTTTTCCATTCTTTTTTGTTGACATTACCATTGACCAATCCCACAAGTCAACAACAGGGCAATCTGGTAAAACTACAACCTCTTTGTCTGATTGGATTGCCTGACCATATTGTGCACGCCACATTTCCTCATCCCCAAAAGGATCTATAAACCAATGCAAAAGGACAAGAAAATTTTATTAATCATAATTTCATACTGCATCAGAATATTACAATATGTTAGAAAACATAAAACAAAAGTGTGCATGAAGACCAAGTTTTAACTTAAGGAGAAATCATAAACAATGCCAAAATGATTCTTATATTTAGCCCACTGACACAACAACGTACTTTTACCATTTTATCTATTTAGCCAGTTAACTATATTCTGTAGTGGTTAAACAAACCATTATACATTTTTTTTTTGGTTTGTTTTGTTTTTACCATTAAAAATAATCAGTTACCGGATACCTGGTTTAGAAGAAAAGGTAAGACTACATAAAAGCACAATGCAATTCAATATTTTGATCAATTTAGCCACTGAACTATTATTTTGTTATGATTATTATAATTAATTCAGTGGCTAAATCGATAAAATGGTGAAAGTACATTGTGTTTTTCTGTATTTTTCCCTGATATCAAAAGCCAACTGGAGAAAATGGTATTTTTTAACAGGGAAAATGAATATAGTGGTTCAATCATCACAGAAAATAGTTAAAATGGCTAAAGCAATAATATATAATACCTTAGAAAATGATAAAAGCACGCATGTGTATAAACGATAAACCAAACTAATAACCTATAATTTATTATAATTAATAACCATCATAAAGTTGTATATATTGAAGAGCAAAATTTGGAAAAATCAAGCGAACCTTCATCTGAAGCAACTCCACTTCCATCAACTATTTCATGAGTGTCATCTGGGATCCATTCTCCCTCTTCAAGTTCATAAGCATCATCATTGTCTACACCTGGACAAAGCTACACCTGTTTTAAGTCTTGCAAGAACCATATCAATATCTATCTAAAAGCTAACAAAAAGATCTTTCACAAACCATCAGCTGGAGTATTTACATCTTCAACCTTTGTATCAGAAGCATCATCTATTGTTTTGTTGGAATAACCAGACAAATAAAGTTCAATAAGTGTGTCTTCTAGCCTATAAACAAGAAAAGAGACATCAATCAAAATTTGAAGGAAAAAAAAAAAGAAACCAATCGAATTCAATTTTTAAATAAAAGAAATAAGTATTTAGCAAAAGAAGTACCATTCAGAAGGTGGTGGTAGATTTTCAGACAGAGCTTCGGTTAGACAGTTTGTATCAACTGTGAAAAATACCATATATTTGTTTACAATTTTAGTAATCCTATTTATTATATTGATTAATTATGAAAAAAAACAATAAGATGAACAAAAAAAAGCGATATGTAGATATGTAAAATCACCTGTTGGTTCATTGGGGGTTGCTTCCTCTACTACATGACCTTCAAATTCACCATCTTCAAACTTAACATCATTTGTAATCGTATCGCAAGGTGCATTTTGGTAAGACTGTTCATGAACAGAATCATCACGAACAGTACCTATGCCTTGATTTGCATTTGATTCATCAGCCTGAAAGTTATAAGTTACTCATAATTGATACCAAAACAAAAAAATTGGAAAAGAACACCTGAAAATGTAGAGGAAGAGGAAGAGATTTGAACTCACTAGGTCTGTTTCCCATGGCACATAACTCCCGTTTTCGAATTTGTAATACAGACCATCGTTGCTGCTATAATACCAGCCCACAGCTGGGTCATGATAGAATCCACTACTGCAAGAAAACGAAAGAGTGTTTCGGTTTCCACTTCATAATATAGTAAAATGACAGGATGGATGCGATTTTGAAGTTGAAATGAAATCCACTGATCGAAAATAGAAAACGTACAAATCATTAAACTGAAAAAACCCTAGCGCTACGGCTTACTCATAGTCATTAATCACCAAAATCAAGTTTTAAAAAAAATCAAATTCTAAATATTAAGATATACTTCAACATGAATGTATTTCACAACACAATCGAGTCAGCTAATCGATATCGACTGTAGTAAGACGTTCAGAAACTCTTGAAATCCTTGATGAAAAAGTAGAATTTCACAACAATTGAAAACGAAAATTCCATGAACTCATTTAGAACCTGGCATGGTAATACAGCTGTGCCTGTTCATCCCATTGAAAGGAATCTTCGTTTTCTTGAGAATTGAGTCCGTTGGTTCCCGCCATCTGTGATTCACCTTTTTCCTCTCCGCCATCCGCCGTCGCACTCGGAAAATTTTGGGTGGAGCTCAGCTCAGACCTCTGGGCTGCATATTTTGGTTGGGTAACATAAACATGGACCATCTAATATTCAAAAGGCCCAACACCCACTCCAGTTAAAATTCCAATTTTCAATTTTCAAGTTTCAACCCAAATATCAGGACTAGTAATATTGACTCGTACGATTAAATTAGAAGGTAAAAACTTTTGAAATGATTTTTGTTGAATAGGATAAACCCAAAAAAAATTATGATAAAGCTATTAAACGTATGTAAAAAATTTCGATATTTTTTCCAAGACACTCATATTCCAGGTAGGGCATATATTATTCGTAATAAATATGACTATATGAGGTAGAATACATTAAAAACTTTATTGCATATTTACGTTGTAGTTTATAGAATATATATTTTCGACAAGATAGATCATTACGTAGATGTGACAATATTAAGACCAATTTACCTATTAATGGATTGATTAGAGTTGTATTTTGTAAGTGTGTTCATAAAAATTAAAATAAGTATATAATCTTTTGATACAATCTTTGAGGGAGGTCGGAAAAAAAATCAAACAAACATCATTAAAAAGAACTAAAAAAAACAAATAATGTTATCATATATCACCAACACTAAAATTTCACCATCCCGATCCTATAAAAATAATGGGACAAATGAGAGGCAAGAACCAAGAAGTATGCTTTCAATAATGAACTCCGGCATAAAAAAAATGTTATCAAATATTCGGTGTGCTAATCATATAACGACAGTTACAAATTGAGATTTTTAAGTAGATATTAGAATATTAGATAAATTATAAATATAATCCATGTTTTTAAAAGTGAACCTTTGTATATATATATATATATATATATATATATATATATATATATATATATATATATATATAATATATATATATATATATATATAAAATATTGGTAATGGAGTATCATGGAGATCATTTCCATTTCTTACTTTTAATCTATGTTAATCTATGTTGCGAATAGTAAAAGTTTTATTCGTTAATTATATATCTTATTTTCCAATACAGTGTAAGAGTTAGGGCTCGTTTGATATTGCTTCTAACTGGGTCCAATAGAGGGCCCAGTCCAAAAAAGATCAATTAGCATGTTTGATTTCGTTTTAAAATCAAGGACTCGGTCCATGCTGTGGACTCGGTCCAAGAAAAAGGGCTAATTCGGTCCTTCACTTTCAATTGATGGACCGGGACAAAAACGTTCGTTACCTTGCCATTTCCGATTTCGCCCTACGCTTTGTGACAACCTCCACAGAAAAAAGGCAACAACGTCCTTCCTCCCAACCCCGATTTGCTCCTCGCCGACTGCTTTCTTCCTCCAACCACTCAACTGGAGACGCCTACCAACCAGGTTAGTCTTCCTTGCATTTTTCTCATTTTTTTGTTGCTCGATTCTTGCTGAAAATTTCGATTTTTTTTTCTGTGATTTCCTACTTCGTTTTCCTTCTTTTGTTCCTTTTGTTGTTGATGTGCACTTGCTTTGCTTGATTTGTGCTTAATTTGATGTTATTTGCTTTTTTTTCTCGATTTTTTACCCGTTATTGTTGTTGTTGTCCTTTTTTCCCTGCGTCGCCCCCTTCCCTGTTAGTTTCTGATCTCATCGCCTCTTGTTGGTTTCAGATCTCATCTCCTCTCTATCTCTGCAAAACGATTCTGAGTCACAATCGATTTCCAAATCGGTTGTTCAGATGCTTGTCTTTGTTTATGGATGGTATCGATTTTTGTTTGGATTTCTGGTATGTTTTTGTTTGTTTGTTTCTTGATTTTTGTTTAACCATTATGTTTTTGGTTGTTTTCTTGATTTTTGTTCTTTGCTGATTGTTGGATAATAGGTGAAATTCCAGTTTGGATCGGTGATAATGAAGAAGAATTTCATTGAATTAGGCTATATATTTGTGTTTATGCGAAAAATATGTGGTGTATATTTGTGTAAAAACAGAATACGGAAACAGAGAAGAATGAGTTTTATATGCTATGAATTTCTTAAAAAAAACATTTGATATTTCCACATGAAAACACATGAATGGTTTGTGTGTATATTTGCATGTATGTTTTTGTATGTTTTAAAAGATATATTTAACCCAAGCAGGGTGGAATGTTTTTATAAAAAATGTTGTTTTGAGTGGTTTTTTTCCAAACAAAAGTTATTAAATCTTTAATTTCTTTATTTTTTTTTACTATAAGTTGAATGTTTTTATTAAAAAAATGTGAAAAGGGTAATACAGTCATTTTGGACAGTCAGTTAGATGAAAAATCAAACAGCAAATTTCAGTAGGAAGTTAACTCAGTCAGAACTTCCAACCCAGTCAGCTTCTAACCCAGTCAATTCTAACCCAGTTAGTAACTATCAAACAACCCCTTATTTGATACTAAGTTATTTCTCATAACAAACATTAAACAATAAAAAGATAAATGACGATTGTTAAATGATAAGGTTAATTGTTAAGTAAAAAGTACTTCAATATTAGCATTATTCTCTTAAAAAGCATAATTTGACATTTCGGTTTTTTCTATTTACGAGTCGGTTGAAAAATAAAATGAACTTTTACCGAACCGAAAAACCGAAGATTTTAGTGATTCAGTTAACCTAATAACCAATATGGTTTTTCGTTTTCATATATATATATATATATATATATATATATATATATATATATATATATATATATATATATATATATATATATATATATATATTAAACACCCTAGGTTTCTTTTCAACATGTCAAATATATTTTAACTTAACTAAAAGTAAACACCAAAGGGCTTCTAACCCAGCGGTATCTGGTGTTGTCCTCCCTCCTTGAGGTTGAGGGTTCAAGTTCCACTGTGGACATAGGTGGAATAATTTAGGAGTAGTTTAGTATAATATTTTATTTGCCGTTCCAAAAAAAAACAGTTTAAAATTCGGAAAAAATAACTTTGTACGGAAATGAACTATTACTTTTATACATATTTAGTTGCTTTCTTATTTTTTGTATATGATTTACCATTAAACTCACGTTTGTTATTTACGAAATACCATTTTGACAAATTATTATAGGCAGTGGCGGATCCAGGATCAAAGTAAAGGGTTATCCCGATATAAAAAAATCGTGTAATACACAATAAGAAAAAAAATCCAGAAAAAATTACACTACGAAGTTTGTTTTGAGGGGTATCCCGGGCTACCCCGGGATATATAGTAAATCCGCCATTGATTATAGGTCTAGTTGGTTTATATCTAAAAAACACTACTAAACTTACATTTGTTATTCAAGAAACATGGTTAAACTTACATTTTTGTATACAATATACCATTTAAACTAACTTTTATATACATGTACTCACTTTCATTTTTTCAAGCAATCAACAATTTTTTGGTAATATTCTCCTACCAACACAATTCTAAAGAAAAAAGATAACATTATTTTACATATTATTTTTCAGTAATATTCTCCGGTGAAAATGCCCCCATCCTTTTTTTTACTACCACCAACATCTCTCCAACCGCCAATTACGCATTTCTCTGCTTATCTTCCTACCTCGATGCATTGTGAAAACAACCCTACATATGCATCTCTCTCTCACATCTGTCTTATTGAACCATGCATCACTAGTTATCACCTTCGTTCCAGAATTTTAGATTAGTTTCGTGGTGGTGGATGAGATGGGTTGTTGGGGTGGCAAATGATGGTGATAGAAGGTAATTTTTCTACTTAAGGTTGACAGTGTTGGTGGGAGGTGGATGGTGGATGGTGTTGACCAGAGAAGATAATTAGGACATTGTTTAATGATAAATTATATAAAAATATTTAATGGTAAATCGTGTACAGAGAAAAACATTAACCTGCACTACTTGCTTAAAATGATAGTTTTTAAACATCTCGTTTGAATTTAATGGTAAATCATGTATAAAAAAATAATCAAATATATACAAAAATTATAGTTCGTTATCCGAAAAAAAAAGTCGTTTTACCTTTAAAAATTTGTCAAAAGTTCAACTAAATGTGTACAAGATAAAAGATTATTACTAGGGGAAAATGAATATACCCTAAAAGGTATATAGGCTTAGGTACTCAAACACGCCAATCTATGTCGTTTTTATATCATATGCGTATTGTAATCGTCCAGAGTTCTTAAAATTAAACTTTTAACTTGATTTGTTTCCAAGATTTTTAGAAATTTCACTATTATCTTATTCTTACATCACATTTTTTTCGCCGAACACCTAACATGCTATATATATGATAGTTTCAAATGAAAATTATGTTAGAGGAAGATCATGACGAAATTTCTAAAAATTTTGGAAGCAAATCAAGTTAAGAGTTGAATTATAAGAACTCCGGACAATTACAATGCATATATGATATAAAAATGAGTAGTATTGTGAGTTTGGATACCTAACTTTTATAGCTTCTACGGTATATTCATTTTTCCCTTATTATTATAGTATATAGTTTTCTTAATTATATTTGATACATGATATTTTATGAAATTCGAAACACAAACAAAAATTATTAACAACTCAACCACAACTATCTTAAATAAAATATCCTTGATTTTGACCCCATAACATCATTAACTTTTGGAATTTATGATAGTGAATACTATTTTGAAGGTAAATTATATGAGAAAATATTTATATTTTAATACGAGTATTATTTCTATGTGGGACAATATCCATAAGTTCAACACAAATAAAAAAAATTATTATTGACGATTTTCTTTTAAGTTTCAACAACTGAAGGTTAAAAATAATTGCTAAACATGTTATCGTAGTTTGATCAGAAATCAAAACATAATGTTAGTTCTTCTCAATTACATGACTATAAAACTATTAAATTAGATATACATCGGAGTATAAGAAGAAAGTAAGAGTTGGGACTCATTGCAATTGCACATATAAAAATTGGCCCACTTACGAACCTCGAATTTGACTGTTTGAGTTTAACACAAGGTGAAAGTTGGATGCAACAACTCTTAATTTGGGTTTTCAATGTAGTCTTATTTCATATTCACCGGCCATTGTTATATATCGCACCCATGGTAACGTCTGGTATGCACTTTTTTCAATAACTTTTAGGTGACGTACCTACAAACATTATCTATATTAGTGTCATATTAGGATTTGTTAGTAAGGTGTATTTTAATGGATATATATATATATATATATATATATATATATATATATATATATATATATATATATATATATATACCTGAATCCCAGATATGGTAAAATATGGTATTTCAAACTTGACACGAATAGGAGCTTTTCTGTCAGGAGTTACATCTTCGTAAGTTACACTCGGGAGTTTAAATTCGGCCCCCAACATATATTCCTGTCATTGTTCATGCTCAAATGGTGTTTATGAAAACAAGAAGAAACCTCGAGCTGCATCTCTTACAACAAGATTGGATATGACTAAACAAACTTTTTATGGTTATTTTTTATGACGATGATAAGGAGGGTATTTACGTCTTCTGCATAAAACACATATCTCTCCCTATCCTCCACAGTTTTTGGTTGGGACAAAAAATTACAATTTTTGTCTCACATTCATCTCAGTCTATGCACGCCAAACACAGTACAACCTGATCTGTTATGTCATGTCTTGTGTAACAGATGGAGTCTTACAAGAAATCAAGGTTCATAGATGGTGATAATTCATTCCTTAATTACCTTGTCACCTGGGAAGGTTCTGATTCTCCATATAAGTGAATCTTGTTCAGGAGCATATGAAGCGGACCCCATTGATGTCCGAACAATAGGTTTTGTAGCATCGGATGGAACAGGTATTTCAATTTGGACATTTGTTGCATTGCTATATTCAAATTATTATTTGAGTCAAAATTTTCAAAACCATGGATTCATTTTCAAGGTATAACACATACCTTCGTTCCCTAAATTGGCTTCTAGCTTTTACAAGCATCTCAATCCTACTTCTAGCATGCCTTTCAACTTGAGCCTCAACCCAAATCAGTGGTTTCACCTATCAACATATTGAGTGAAATTTAGAAGGAAAAAAATCTAATTAATCACAAAAATAAAGCTAAAGATAACCTGAGTACTGAGTCTATATGTCATGAGATCAAATGATCCATCAGGAGGAATAAATGATATTGTGCGATCAGTTTCAAAGCGGGCTAAACGTACACACCTATAAATATATACAATAATTATGTAATTATGGTATTCTTTTAATAACATGCATATCGATAAAAAGAGCATTAAAATTGCAAAAGCTTACTGATGAAATCTGATGTCTTCCAAATCAATGCCTTTTCCTTTTTGTTGCTCTGCTTTGAGCATCCATTATAAGTCTATCATTAAGCCCAAGCTTGCATTCAGGCATTCCACTATGAAAAACGTCATTTTTTTTTGTCAAAGTTAGGCTAAAACCTCAATTAAGAAGGTACATCACAACCATAATCATTAAGCACCTTACACATGCTCTCATCTTTAATGCCCCAACAACTTCTGATCGAAGTATTTGCCTGTTACTATTGATTAATATGTTGAGACTTTCAATCACATCCAGGAACACCTGATAGAAAAGAAGAAAAATAGGAGATTGCGGTGTTGAACTGGTGATATCAATGGCATAAAGTTATCATCACAGCCAAATGAAAAGAGGGTCATACTTCATTCTTTTTGTAGTATATTCCTTCATTTCGCCAAGAGACTGCATTAGTAACAGCCATTGGAGGCCTTTGTGTAACTTCCAACTTATAAGCATCAGTCTTGATGAATTCACTTAGAATCATTGCTTCTGTATATTGTGGGTATCCAAAGTCCATCATTTCATCCAATAATTCATACTGCGATATTTTTCTAAGCAAGATCAACCTAAATGTGCAATAGATTAACGAAAATGTTTAATCAATTGAAGTGAAGAAAAGAATTTGGTTCTTACCACTACAACAAAATTATCTCTAAGAGATTCCTCTTCTAACTCTCCAAAATAATACTCAAAAACCTGCATCATGTGATGAACTATTAGTAATAATGGCATGAATCATGATCATATTAACTATAGGAAAAAGCACAACTCGTAATTACAACTAAGAAGTAAGAAATAGTAAAGTGTACTCACACTAGCTAACCGGTGGAGAAATACAATGAGGCTAGCAACATTACAGTTTTGTCTGGATACAGCCATTAAGTAGACATTGTTGTGTTGAATAAATATATGAGAGACACCGCTGTCAAACACTACTGGACCTTGAGACTCTATGTCCTCCTAATTGAAGATCATATGAAAAAAAAAAATGTTGACAAATCAGTATTAAGTTATATCACACAATATTGCCACAAGTTCTAATAAGTGATAACAATGATGAAGTTTTCAACCGTGGACTACTTGATCTTTAATATATGAGAATACAATTGTATCACCAAAAATGTGAAATCCAACCAATCTTGTTGCAATTAGAATCAGTATGCACTTCGAAGATGTTTGGTTGCCAAAAAAACCTAGAACTTCAAATTCTATTTTACGAGATAGAAATATATGCAAAATTAAAGGAACATATACATTTGGATCGATACTAATTTTATGGAGTACCTCAATCTCAAGGAGTTTGGTGAAGAACCTCTCCGCTTCAACAGATGAAATGTCACCGCGATAGTGACGACTGAGCAAGCAACGTCCCTTTATATCGAGAATTAAAAGCGCGGAAACGGCTCCCGCCATTGGTCTGCATCAATCAAACCACAAGATAAACGAATAATGTTAAAATGATGAAGAATTTGAATATTGGTGAAAATTAAGTTGAATAAAGAGTATTCTTACCAATGAATAAGTACAATTTACTGGAAGATCAATGCCAATAGTATAGAGCAAATTCGTTACGACGCGATTTTAAATTACAGATCACACGATCGCACCAACTTTGGGTTTTTTTATGATGGCAGAAGTTTGGAGACGAAGGTAACGGGTGGAGAACCCATGAATGGTTGTTACTTGTGTTGGTAAATTTCACGTTTCCCCCCTTTTTTTTTTAATTAACTGTAATATTTTACTAAAGTTATTTTAATATCCACAAAAATATCTATAACTTCTTTTAGGCAATTAACTATAAAATCATAGCTTATAAGCAAAATTGTTTATTAATCAATCTGATAATGATGATAATACTGGTAAATGTTACCGGCAAGATTATATATATATATATATATATATATATATATATATATATATATATATATATATATATATATATACTAGTGGGGTACCCGCGCGATGCGGCGACGCTAGATAGTTTTTTCGGCCAGCGGTTTCCGTATGACAATTAATTTTTTGCTTCAGGTAGTTCTATTCAGGCTTCTGGCAAACTGTTTTGTGCAATATAGTTACTTGCGGTGTCTAGTTTCTAGGTAGTTGCATAGATATGCAATACGGTTGACGGCGAATAGTTTTCTTTTGGGTGTCATGTATTGCTCAAGATGTTATTATTCTAATTTACCACTAAGTTATATCTAATAAGAAACTCACGCAATGCGGCGACAACATATATTTTCATTTGAGAGTTAGTTTATAGACAATGATTAGTTTACTTTAAGTGGGCTTCTAAATGTGTCTTTAGGGTGAACTAAATTTTTTAGACAACCAATTTCGTTTGGAAAACATATCATATTCCAAAAAGTAGTGGATGTATTACAAATATCAATCATTAGTGTCAAGTGGTAAATAGTTGTTTTTCGTCCAATTATTTTATTTCAATAATTATTTATAGACATGATTAAAAAAATACATAAAAACATAGAAATTAGAAAACTTCAAACTTTATAGACTTATTAAAAACAATACATTTCTATATATAACAAAAGATGTATCATATCTACGTTATTAAAAAATTATTAAAGATGGTCATGTTTACTTTCTCACAATTTCAGTTGGTAACATCGTATAATGTACATTTTCATGTATCTTTCATATTATAAAAATGTTTTAAATTACACATTTTATTTTATTTTATATTTTACATTTTATATTTTTTATTGTATTAGCTTAATCTCTTGTAAACATATAAATGAAAACTTTAAATTTCCAAAAGATTTTATTATTACAAAGTTTGCATCATGTATATTAAATGAAAACGGTATTATACTTATATAAATATATAATTGAAAAATAAAAATTAACAAAAGAGAAAACAAAGATATTAATACTTAAACTTAAACTATTCCTTTATGTATATCTTGTAAACATGTAAGCCCTTTTTTGTATTTTTGTTCGGATCGAAGAAAAAAAAATCAAATTCCAAGTTGATAGACAATTTTTTTCTAATCCATTATTTTGTTTTTATTAAAAATATCTAAAACTAATTTAAAACTAATATCTAAATAAGAAAAGAGAAAAATAGAAAGAAAACACATGCTAAAGTTATGTGTTTTTATTTAGTTAACTTATTATTTATACATACGATATTATAATATAAATAACATTTTTATACTTTTCTAATTTATATTTATCATCCATAATTAATGTTAATATTTTTGTATATTAAGTTATGAAATATAAATAAAATATTCTTCATTTAAAATATATTTTTTTAAAACAACGGTAAATAAAATTCAAATTCAAATTGTAATTATAATTTATCTGTCACCAATTGTTGTTACCCATGGTGTGTTATCATTCCCAACGTTTCATTGGAAATTACAAATTTAAATTGAAAGACATCCGCCGTGGCATTAGTATGGCTGACAAAGGTTGTCATTGCTACTTGTCTATATATAAGCTAATAATTTAAAACAAATAGTAATTTAGATAAAGTAAATGTGATAAAGTAAATGTCGCATCTATGACACTTATAATTATGAATTATTTTCCATTTTCATCGATTAAAAATCTGATCACTTTTATTATATTATATAACTTTTATCTAGTAAATATTATATTAAAATTTCTAAATACTGCATATTTTCATCATTTTTACTACTTATTAGTTTCATTTAGTTTATACTTTTTAGCAAGTTTCAATTTATTTTCATTTCAAAATCCGGATATTAAACAATTTTTTAAAGAACCACATAATTAACTTCATATGTCCAGTTTGCCGCAAAGCATGTTTGGATACCTTTGAGGAACACACGGTTCATTGTAGAGAGCTCCCTAGTTTCAAGTACAGACATGATGTGGTTCGGGATGTTTTCTTTGATGCTTGTCGGCGTGCTGGTATTTCTGTGAAGAAAGAAGCGTCAGTGAACTTTTTGACGGACCCGCAGGATGGAAGGTCCACACTTAGACCGACTGACATTTTGGTCTTTGGATGGATAGGAGGGAAGCATGCGTGCGTGGATCTTACTGGGGTCTCCCCTCTCGTTGGTTTGGGAAGCAGGGGTTTCACAGCAGGGCATGCCGCTTTGAAAGCCGATGCGTGCAAAGTGGTAAAGCACGAGAATGCATGTATAGAAAATCAACATGTGTAAAGCTCCATTAGAAGCTTAGATTGGTCATTTAGAGCCTTTAGGGCCTTGCATGTGTGTAAAGTTTGCAACTTTACGTGTTAAACATGCCTTAGAAGCTTGGATCTGTAATCTGGAACCTTGGCATGGCTTAGAAAGTGTCTGCATGGATGAAGGTCTGCAAGGACTCGGCGAGTTGCATAGTCAACTCGGCGAGTCATATGAAGATGGTCGTGAACTCGTCGAGTTGATGAACAAACTCGGCGAGTCCGTTGAAGATTGCCTTGAACTCGGCGAGTCGGCTAGGGTTTCTCCCAATTCTTGGACACGTATGAACTCGGCAAGTTAAAGGGTAACTCGACGAGCCAATCAAGGATTTCACGACTTCTCGAGTTCAGGAAGGACTCGACGAGTCGAGTCAACATGGACTGTTGACTTTGACTGTGGACTTTGACTTTGACCAAGAGTTGACCAGTTGACTTTTGAGAGTATTCTGGTAATTTGGAGATTTACGAAAAAGGGTTTTATGGTAACGATAGGTGGTGGAGTTCGTGTTGGTGATCCGGGAGTTGAGCTTCTAGTTTCAGACGACAGTTGCGAGGTGAGTTTTTCCTCACTATACTCAAGGGTCTAAGGCACCAAGGCCGACCCTTTGGATTATTATATGGTCATGTTATGCTAGTATAATCTGTTAGATCGGTATCCTAGAGGGTAGGATAATATTATATGATATGTGGTATGATCTGTTAGATTGGCATCCTGGTAGATAGGATGGTGTTATGTGCTATGTGGTAAGATTCGTTAGATCAAGTATTGTCTATAGACTGTTATGTGATTATCTATTATATGTGCACATGTTTGTTTGGCGGTTGAGGCTTATCTGCTCGGTGCGAAGGCCAATAGACCTGAGCATTCCAACCTGTAGGTTGTGGGCCATGAGTATTCCATCCCGGGGATGATTGGACTCAGAGTATGTGGGCAATCCAACTTGTTGGTTGTGGGCCTGGGGTATTCCAACCTGATGGTTGATTGGACCCATAGTGTATTGGCAATCCAACTTGTTGGTTGTGGGTCTAGGGTATTCCAACCCGATGGTTGATTGGACCCATAGTGTGTTGTTATGATTCTATGTGTATTGTTGCGGGTATGAGTATTTTGGGGGAACTCACTAAGCTCTCGGGCTTACAGTTTCAGTTTATTGTTTCAGGTACATCAGGGGATCGCGGCAAGGCGAAGGCGTGATCGTACAGCTCCTCATGTTTTGTCTATGTTTCTGGGAAAACTCGGATATTATACATTTTGAAAACAAAGTTGTAATGATTTTTAATGGTTTGGAATGTTTTTAAAAGTTTAAATTGGTTTGAATTTTTGGGTGTTACAAAATTTGAATTCTATAATGATATATTTTTTTTAAAAAAACTTGGAAAATATGTAAAGAGTTTAGAAATATACCATCTACCTTGCTAAGAAGTATTTCCATGACATATAATCACACCCAATCATCACCTCTGAAAAAACAAACCATAATTTGAAGTTAACTCGCAAGAAAAATAGATCTAACAATACAAAAGTTAAATGAACACTAATACTTATACGCAAATAAAATCAAGCTTCGTTCTTTTCAAGTATGATATCAGCCATTCCAAATCTGTTATCACTGAAATATACAATAGAAGGAAGAATCATTAAATCAGCCATTTTTCATTGGAATAACCGAACTTCTTAGAAACACATAAAAACACAAGAAAAATACCAATATGAGGATCAACTGGCTAGTTTGTTCCAGGTTTTCGAACCTATTAGGAAAAAAAACGCAACAATAAGAAGTATGACTTGTTAAAATTTTAAAGCAGCAAGAACCAAAATCAATGGTGGTTCGTTCAAGGTTCTTGGGATGTTACATTCCAGATTTTCGGAACTGTAAATCAAACCAAGTAAAAAAAACCCAACCTTTCTTTTGTTTGATTAGTACACTCTTAGAAGACTTCAAGATTGTTTGTTCCCTAGTAGATGAAATCGAAATCCACGCCAAAATCGATTGAAATATATGACAAAGGGAACGATGATTTGACGATTTGACAAAAGGAGTTCGAAGATCGAAGGTGGGTGGTTGTAGTGGCTATCGTGAGGAAAGGTGAGTGAACGGAGGATTCAGTGGCTTCCAAGTTCCGATTTATGTGGGTTATGTGGGATCAAAATCAATGGCTTCCGAGAGGAGGAGGAGGAGGTTGGGCGTGATTGTGAATGACGGAGGATAGAGAGGCAAATGTAAATAAGGGCAACCGGTTTTCATTTTTTCTTCTTATCCGTCTGTGAAAAAGAGTAAATATTACACTCTCTATTCTGATTGGTTTAAATCATTTCTCATGGATCGGCAATAGCAATATCATAACCATTCAATTTACATCCATCGGTCCAGCTTTAGTGTTTTTTAAGATAAAATGTCTTAAAAATTAGAGGACCCACAAACATATACTCTTTATAAGATGGTATATATATATATATATATATATATATATATATATATATATATATACTCTAATAAATG